GCAATTTGCCTGGATGAAAATGGATGCACACATCAGAGATTTGTCCAGCATCATGTAAAGGTAAACACTAATAATCATAGGCTGTAACAAAACATGTACTAGCTGTGGGACATATAAAAAAGGCACAACAAAGATGAGGAGGGCTGTGAGATACCACAGATCAGACAATCATATGTAACACCAGTGTTAAATTGCACTGATCTCTTTAGAGAAAAATGTCACATCGACCCAAAATCTTATCTAACGTTTGCCTTGAGGCTGATCTAGGTCAGATATTAACTTGGAAGATTAATTTATTAATCTGTAGGCCAGACATATCATGCAGCTCTTTTAAGAGTACACAGAAACACTCACATCAGCCCTTGTATTTAGGGAGATTAAAGTCTAATGTTCACCACAATCATAAAGGCACATCCAGGCAAATCCAGCAGTCTATTCAACTACCCCTGGTATGCTCTACATCAGGGGTGGACTGGGCCAGGTGGCAGGGTGGCAATTCCCCCCCGTGCCTCTCTGATGCCACCGCGAACGTCACAGCGCGCACCAGTTTAAGTAGTAACCAGCACGCGCCGTATGCAGCTTCTAACAGCGTGGGAGACGGGAGGCCGCACTTTTGGTGGATGCAGGGATCAGGTGAATATATTTAAAAAAAAGTTTGTTTTATGCTCTCGGGGATAAAATGTCCCAGGATTTTGTTTTTAAAAATGTTGTCACCTTACCTTGGCCTGGTGGTCAGTGGGGGGCTCCATGGACCCTGGTTGGGGGGGGTGTCTGCTGTGGCCGCAGCTGCAGTGGCTCTCTCCCTCCACCGCCTGTTTGTCACCTGCACACGGCCGGCTGGACCACATCCGATGCGGCTCTGCGATCAGCGGCTGCTCGGTCCTCAAGGGGGTCCTCAGAAGGACCCAACGGGCTGCTTTCTACAGCGCTTGATTACATGTCCGTGTCTGCCTGATCCAGCCAGCCGGATAGCATACCGAGGCGATCCGTGCTGGCTGTACCAGGTAGACGCGGCATGTTAGAGGGCCCCAGCCAACAGCGTGGGAGATGATCCAGGGTCTCAGCAGTCATGCACGTGCACAGCCCTGACGTGGCATCCCTCCACTACCAGTGTGCTTTACATTTCCTAAACCGATAAATACATTCACACTACTGTTACAAGGATGGCAAAAGTGTCAGACAGGGGCGGGGAGAATGCAGGAAGAGGCAAAGCGGGAGGGGGGCCAAGTTGCCACACCATGGGCCTCTGGGTTGTACTTGCCCCCTGGGCTAAAAGTTGCCAGTCAGCCCCTGCTCTACATTGTAAGAATAAACCTTAGCAGCAGAAAAAAAAACATAAATACAGAGATAGAACTACTATGGTATTTAATGAACATAGAGTCCCGGCAAGATCTGGCTACAGTGTCTCATTGTGTTTTTTTTAGTAAAACAAAGTAGACACAAAAAGGCATTTATTGAAAGCATGACATGTATTTTAATTCAAAGCTAAAATTAACTTGACTAAAGAATACATTTCCTTCTATGAATTTATAAAAATCCTATCACCAAAGTCACCATTTCTCTCAAAATAACACACAACCATGTGGAAACATTGAACATACCAAATTAACTTTCTAGGCTGTTAGTAAAATGTCTATGCTTAAAAACATTATTATATGCTTCTGTAGGTAGGCTTTAAAAAATACATGTGACATTTACATCTAACAAACTTCAGTATCAAATAATGTAATGTTGAATAAAGCCAGGTTATTAACTTCATCTTGTGTCAATCAATTTAGCAGGAAAAATAGTGTTGTCAATTCATTATCAAGACTACATTTTATGTTCCCTAAAGGAATTTCAGTATAATTTACTATTCAGTATCATCATTCAACTGTGCGAAGATGAAAAGTTGTGTCACTAAGGAGTCATACAGATAGCTTGGTCAGTATGGTTAAAATATTGCAAATTGCAAATATTGCAAATATGATGAGAACTAATTCTTGTTGATCCATATCTAATATACCATGAAATGTTTTTTAAAAACCCATAAAAAGCAGGGGTATGGCAGGGTTGGAAGAAAGGCAGCGGCTCAGGGTACAGGTAAGTAAGACAAGGATGTTAAATAATATTGAAAAAAATATCAAAAAATTAAAGGCCGCTATGACTGAGCATGTGTCAAATAACCAAATAGTTTTGTATAATTTTAATATGTTAACCACAATTGTCATGATCAAACAATTGTTCATGATCAAACATTGTGATTGACGTTTGATTTACATCAAGGAACATTTATTTATTTTTCTATAATAAAGGACTTTGTTCATGATGTGGGTGTTTTCTTTTTACTATTTACATATTTCAAAGTAATTTTGCAGGACAGCAAACATGAGAGATGGCTCCGTCCACCAGCAGGAAGCAAAAAAAAACAGCTTTCCTAATTTTCCTCAGTGTTATTCTATCACCCCTTTACAGGTCATTCTATATAGCATTATAGTATTTAAGATGGTGTACATATGCTCCACTTCTTCACCACTAGGAGTAGGGGTATGGGCTGTCATTTTTAATCATGGGAGGAAAGAGCACCATTATTTCAGGTTCCAATATGTGCCTATAATCCTCTCATAGGGTCAGTGGTGGTTATGCTTCTATAGGTATATGCACCCCACTAAAGTTAGTAGATCACTCTTTTATGGGGCAGTTGCCTAGGGTCATAGGGTTCTTTACATTTAGAGGTTCTCCAGTTTTATTACATTCAAATGCTTTAAATTTTATATGCACACTAGCCAGGCGATGCAGTATTCGTTATTTACTATCAAGGCAGAATTTCTGCTTTTCCTTATATGATTGTAAAGTATATATCAGCTACGCATCTGTAAACCTTTCATATTCAACTGTTGCACTACACTACAGTTCTCTGATCTTTCATCAGAGAACTCTGTTTTTGAGTTCATTTGCCTGGGGCAAGTTAGATTGTATTGCAGAGTTCTATGAATTTACAGTTGTATTTTATGCATAGTAAATATATAATCTAATGCTTATTTTTCTTTTTGTAGAGGTAAAGCCCTGCCATATATTAGGTTTACATTAGAGTGGCTTGTGTATATATGGTACATCCATGTTACACAACTCCTATGTTTAGTTCCCAGCATGTTGACCTTGTACTCCCATGCTGTAGTAATGTCTTGCTTATCCTTAATGAATGCTTTCCTGGAACATTACTTGGTAAATCAGTCTGCACCAAAATCATGATCCACTGGCTTTCCAGATGGCTGGGGACCTTTGCATCTCTGTTCTACACCCAACCTTAAAGTGTATTTCCACTTCTGCAGTCATATTGGGATAACACCTACATTATATTTGTTACATGTTCCCATTCAGATATCATACCTAAAAAAAAATCAATATGCTTGCATATTACATTCTCTGTTCTGAAATAAAAGCTTTTCTCTGTACTGGATCTCCCTTTGATATGCAACTGGACAAGGTAGGTTACCCCTGTCTGTACTGTGCTGACAGATCTCATTATCAATTGTAAACTAGAGGACAGCTAGAGTTTCCTATCACTGTGAAAACTGAGTGAGACGCTTGCAATGGCCTTCTACACAGAGACATCTAAGAGGTAAGATTTGTTACATAATTTTTATATATGCTGTGTGAATAGGAACACTTAACACACCTGTACTGTGGGTTGTTTGTTTGTTTTTAATTTGACAGTAAAAGTAGAAAAGTTTTGCTTTCTCTTGAAATCTTGTTAACAAACCTCTTAACAAATTATGTAATCTAAGATCAAAAAGGTACAAATAACTTGCCTGGCTTGTCATATTTTCCCATACTGTATATATTGTACTTTATGTATGTATGTATACAACTTTTATTTTGCTAACAGTTAATAAATTCAATATTTTGTACTCCATTAAATGTTGCAAAGGTATTTATCTTCCTTTCCAATTCCATCACTTCTATTCCCCAGATGATTAAGGCTTTTATAGTTAATGCATAATGATGCTTTTAAAGAACCAATAAAAACAGAATTATAAAATAATCAACATACATTAGTGTAGACATTAAATAGCGTCACTTGCAGTTTGAGATTTGGAAACATCAGTTATGTACAGTAAACTAAAGATAAATAGATTCAGTCATCCACACATTTGCAAAATTCCAAATGTGAAAATATTTAAATACTGCCAAAAACTCAATTTATTTTCAAGAAAAATTAGGCCCATAGATACCCATTACCACAGGTTTTAATTATTTTCAGTGGATTTCAAGATCAGAGGGAGCTGTCTCCTTGAAATTGAATCTCTATAGAGAGTTGTTTTGTAATGATGAGAAAACGTAAAGTCTACTATTTCCATTGGTCCTTTTGATAGATCTATCATCAAGTATGGCAGTCTCTGGATGACTACTGGCTGTCTTCTCTTTCTCCAAGTGTAAACATGATTAATCAATCATTGTAATCGGTGGGTGTGGTGATTAAGCATATAATTAAGCCATATTGATTTACTTATGTAAAGCAAATATGTTATCTTGGGAAATATGTCTGACTGATCAAATTAGTCATTTTAATATAGAGAATATATTTTGACAATGTGATTGTTTAAATAATGATTTAGAATATAATCTTAAACTATTCTTTTTTAAGTGGACATAATTATTGACAGTTACAAATAAAAAATAAATATAACTCTAATAAAACTTGATAGCTTACTACCAATACTTTAGGAATCAACAGATTACAAAATGTGCTGGATCAGTCTTCAAGTTGCAAATATGGTTTATCTGAAATAAAATATGGATAAGGTTTCCACTTCTTGCTTTGTGCTCACACTGAGCTAGTCATGCACTCGACAGTTTGAATGCACACTGCACAGTCTATAATTTCAGAAAAGGGGTTTGGTAGTAATTGTGCTCTCGTTGCTTTGTATATAACAAAGTTCTGAAAGTCATATTGTTAAGAAATTCTTGCATCTTACAACGTTTACAAATTGCGTTCCATGATAGATCCGAGGTTTAAATTCCTCATATTTATATTTCAGCTACCGTGTCACCTGTAAAAACAAAACAAAAATTAAAGTCACTGATATATTTACTAACTCCAATACAGTTACAGAACAATTACAGTGTCAATATTAAACTAATATTTACTTATAATGAAAAAATCATTACGGTACCAGCATTTCAATAGAAGTTAAAAGGACACATTTTGCCATAACAGTGAATTTTAAAAAAATTAAGTAAAGGTTGGAGTAAAATAGCAAGAGTCAGAAATAAGAAGACACTATTGAAGTATACCATCCTGGAAGCAGGTAGGTCATTTGTCTGGCAAATTAGTAAGAGTAAACAGAAGTTAAAATCATTATGGCTTGCTACAGAGGTAAGCAAAAGAGAAAAAAAATCAGCATATAGGTGATACAAGGAAACAGAGGGGTTGCTTTACTTATGACAAATAGGATTTTCCCTTTCCAAGGGAATTTTCACTTTGCAAAGACATTTTTCTTTAGCATCATCTGATCATGTGCAATCAAAAATATAGATTTTTTTTTGTTTTCCTTGCACATGATTGGGTAATCTATGCAAAGTGAATTTTCACCACATTTACTTTTCACCACAAGTTAGGAGAAAATTCCCTTTTTAAAGTGAAAATCCCTTTGCAAAGTGAACAGCCTATTTGCCTTAAAGCAACGCCAGAAAGTGTAGCTTATAGAGCAATGTATAGAAACAGACAAAAGAAGTCCAAACATATATTAAGCACTGCCTAAGCACAGAAAGAATAGAAAATGACTAAATCAATTTAGAAAGGTGACAAAACCTTTTATAGGAATATCAGTAACAGGAAGAAAATATACTATGGGATCATAAAAATGAAAACTGGATACAATACTTATGTTTAGGGAGACCTGGATGTAACAAAACATTTAAAAAAATGTATTTTGTTCTGTCTTCTCAGAAGTAAGTGACTCTAAATATAGGATCATATTGTTTCTAGTGGTGAGAGTTAATTTTCAGAGTTTTTAGAGGCAAAGGTACAAGACAAACTGTCTTGCCTAAAGCTTCATAAAGTGATGGGTCCAGATGGTATTCATCACATAGTTGTAAGAGAAATTCAGGGTATAGTTGTTTGTTGGACCATTAACTGATCTTTTCTCTTCTAACAGGGAGTTTCCCATGACTGGCTGATAGGAAATGGTGTACCTATCCACAAGAATGGAAGTATGGAAGAAGCTGGCAACTGAAGGCCAATGCATTTAATATCTATAGTAGTAAAATTAATTTAATCACTCCTAAAAAAAGAAGGATCAATTATCATGTAAAAATGCACAACTTGCTGGACCCAAAGCAGCATGGTTTTACTGAAGGCAGATAATGTCAGACTAATCTGATTGGATTTTTTTGCCAATATAAAAAATCGCCTTAATGTTAGGAGTATGAC